GAAATCAATAAAATGCTATTTCTGAAGTATATTATTCATAAATGAATAATAGCTTAGCTCATTTAGGTCGAAGTTGGCATTAAATATCTAGTGCAGTTTTCATACCATGTCATGTTTTATTTATCATCTGTTTTTGCAATAAGTGTAAGAGAGCTAAAAATCATTTAATAAATACAAAATGCATATCTTGTATTTCCGTCTATATATTCAGACATAAAAGAGTTATCCAGTTTAAAAAAAGAAGACAGACCGCACTTGTTCACTCACGATTACGTCGTAAAGATTTTTTTCTGACCTATTATCTGTCATGAGGTAAAACACTATATTGACAGAAACATAAGTTTATAATTTTATCATATCCATGTTCTTCAAATTGTATCATATGCACAATATTCATATGTATAAAAATCTGGAGTAAAAGTGATCCCACGGAAGCATTAATCACGACATAATTATATGACAATTGCAGACTCGGTTTGATTGAGTCTGTACATGAGGAATAATGAAAAAGTGCAACATCCCTCACGCCCTCCAGCACCGACTTTGGAGGTATTCTTTTGGCAACACTTAAAAGTGCTGGAATCAATGTTCCCGAAGGACCAGGAAAATGTAACAGCACTGAAGTGAAGTACAGGGCAACTTTAAACAGCTGCCACACAGCACTTGAGAAATACGCTGTGGAAAATTTTTATTTCAATATTAAAATAAAGATAAATACAAACTTTTAGTATAAATACCTCGATTTTGTATTCCGTATTCAAAATATTTTTGACGAAAAATAAGAAAAATGAAAATCCCTTGAAACACACAAGTTAACAGTTATATAATCTAAATTAAATGGAAGCTTTTTTCCATTTAATTTTATGTTTTCTTCGTTCGAAAGAAGAAATTAACTGTCTGTGCTTACAGAAACTGTTTATAATTTATCCACATTGACTTATATAATTATCAGGCCATAGATAAATCGTGTCTATGGGTTTGATAAAATCGTATCCGAGTATATAATTAAGATATCAATTGATGTATTAAGTTCCTCTAGAGAAGTTTCAGATTTTCAAAACAGCTTACCCATTTAAGTGATGATAACTGGTGTTTTGCATAATCAAATTTTTCACCAAAGTCAGTTCAACGATATTTGGCGAGACTATAAGGAAACACTTTGCGTTGCTTTTTGAGATATCTATCTCATCATTGCTTGTAGAATATACATGTACTCCGCACTAAAGTAAAGATTAACTGTTTTAAACTAATCTTTAAAGGCACATTATGCCATCATAGAATAATACTTTAGAAATGTCAAACACGTATTTAATAAGGTTTTGATAATATAATCTAATTTAGAGCATGTAAGATATTTTACAGCTGATGAAAGATGCGCTGAATGTACAGAAGTCAATGTGTCGTAAAAGAAGTAGTATTTTGACTTCAATACGAAATACTTATTCACTATAATTATACCAATTATCAACAAAGCAAAATATGCGAAGATAGTTCATCTAAATAAGTGTTTTTATGGAAACTGTAACCAGATACGAAACATTTGAAGATTTTATTAATGAAAATAATGTATTTGAGGCTTAACGGGCCTTTAAAGCACCTTGCGGCTGCTAAAACTTATTCAAATGAAGAAGAAACATCAGCAAAGGTATACGCTTGTACATTTCAAAATCATTATGTTTTGTTAAATTTATATTTTATATGACATTATCAGAAGCGTTCTTAACATGCAAACAAATATTTATGGGTGTATAGATCTTTTTACAATACGACTTTTCCATAGTTGTAACGGATGTAGCATTTCGCATTCAGCAACGGACCGCGTCTAAATAAGGTCTAAACATGAGAGAAAAAAAGATAAATTTGTACTGTTTATTGTAAAAAACTTTCAGAGGCTAGTTCGTGCGTTCTTTGGTAATGTACTTTTCCCTATAAAGCTAAGAATAATCAACTGGAACCCCGCTAATTTCTTAAATAGACTTGTCCATCTTTCAATCTGGGCAAGTTCATTTGTTGTTTTAGGGAAATTTGAAAAACAAGTAAAATGCAAAAATGTTATGCATAGTAATCTTACACGGACGAAATAAATGTGCGTAAAATCTTAAATTCGTAGATTGGACACTGGAAGAAGACACTCATAAGCTTTTGAAGCTTTCTGCCCTGTCCAAAAATGTGTTGTGTAAAAATTGTTCACATGTAAAATGTTATTATGTTTATACCAAATGTGTAGGTTGATCTATCTAAAAATCACGAAAAATAGTGCCCCACGAAATACAATGGGTTTTGAGTATTAAGATAAAACTTTAGTTCAACATGTAACGATTTCTTAAATGATATATATACATGTACTATTTAACATTCTTTTAAGCGTTACGTATGCTACATTTAAGGGTGGTTGCACCTATCCTTAAAATGACATTTTGGTCATCAAAGCGTAAAAAGTTAGGGTGCAGTTTAAGTTTAAAAAATCTCACATTTTCCATAAATATTTAAGATTAAAATGTTAAACTTCATAGAAATAAGCATTAACCTACAATGTATGTGCCACCCATATAACTCCAAATTTATAAAATAACATTGAAGTGGTAAAAAGCGGGTCAGTCTTTTTTATATTTTAGACAGATTTTATATTTTATATCTTTAACATATTTTCCTTTATCAATTATTGGTCAGTTAACATTTAAATGGTCATTATTTCGAAATAAATAGCTAATTCAACTCAAATTGGCAGCAAAAAACAAGAATAATGTCACTTAAATTAAAACGAAACACTTGTGTTTTTTTTTTACCCCAACTGTCATGCAGCCATTATAACAACGAAAAGGGCTGAACGAAATATGAGAAAGAAGTCCATAAATTAAAGATCCTGTAACTCATTTTTAAAGGTTTTATATCATAGATATCATGCTCAAATGAAGATTTATCAATATTGTAAGTTCCAAAAAGCATTATTTGTAAATATATTACCGAATTTACATTTTATGTAAATAAAGGGAGGTAATTAGATATCTATTTTCGAAAAAGTCTAAGCAAGAAATGAATGCATATATTTAAATGATTACATATAATGCGCATAAACATTTATGCAATATGTATTTGATTTAAAAGAATAATTAAATACATAATTATATAAAAATTCACTAAATTGTTGTTAAATCTTTAACTACAAAATACAGGATCTTTAAAATAAACATGAGTTTTGACTCCGCCCACTTTCATATTTATACATACATGTATGTATTTCATAATTATTTTTAACAAATATGAAATATATTTGATTGGTATAGCAAAGTAATTGCGTGGCAAGTAACATGACATTGCATGTTACAACGTTTTAGAATATCGACACCATAAAATTAAAGAAACGTTATAAATTTTCTGTTGATAAAGTTTATCAAAATGTAGCTTTATGTCCTTTAAGGGTATATACATGTTAATAATACTGCACGTTTGTAACGTCATTTTTCATTGGATAATCGTGACGTTTATATAGTTTTATATACACGACTGCTTGCTGTATTATAAATTCGTTATAAAGAATTGTTGACAGGTTATATGGCCGTATATGAACGGCTGTTTGCAATATAACCCTCGCCTAACGGCTCGTGATATATTTACAAATAGCCGTTTATATAGGGCCATATAACCTGTCAACTAATAATATATACGTCAGATGTTTTGAACCTGCTATGTGGTGATTTATGTTCCTTTAAGCGCGATCTAAGATTTAAAATATTTTACAAAATCACGATTTTGAATAAATCTTTAAGCGTGCAACAAAAGAATAGTGTCTGTGTTATTGACGCATGACTTATTATGGGTAAATAAGAACATATCAGTAGTGTAATGGTAGCTCGGATTTCCGATTTTAGTCACGACTTTTAAATGTATTCATAACTTATACAGTACGTATGTCCTATATTTTTGCCTTGCAGGTATACTAAAAAAACCCAGTGATTTGCAGAGCAAGCGAAGAGACTGAGTAACGGAGCGAAGACGACGATCTGGTTTTGGATGAGGTTGATGAGAATGATATAAATTGTAAGGCTTCATGACTGTATACATTCGTTAATTAACATGTTTAAATGTATGTATACACGCCATTATTGTTAATGGCACGGATTTAAATGTAATTTAAATCCGTGTTAATGGCAATAGACATTATGTTTGTGCCTTAATAATACGTATCTTGAATCTTGAATCCTGTAAGTAATATATGCATCTTTATGATACTACAACACGTTTCATTGGATAATCGTGACATTTATATGATCCATATGTTCACTGCTAAATACTGTCATGTCAATCCAGGAATTAATTTCGTCGTATTTAGCATGGTAGTTCTGTTATTTCTTTTTTACAAATGTCACAGGGTGAGAAAAATTTGCCGTTTACCGGGACTCGAACCCGGGACCTTCGAAATACAGTTCCGCGGCTCTACCATCCGGCCGCTTCTAAATAGTGGACAGTACGTTCTGAACCGTGCCACAGTGGTTGAAAATGATAGTCTACTAGCTGATAAAGCTGACGGAAACTTTTTTGACAACTCACATTCCCCCTTAAATTTAAAATAGGCCTCCCAAATCTTGTGAAATTCGCTTTGGGCAGTCTGGTCTGGTCCGCACGTTCGTTTACCCTCATTTTGGGGACTTACTGAAAAGATGCCCCAGAGCCAGAGCTCTTTTGAAAAACCCATTATATGATCACAGACTTTATACTATAAACTCCTTTTTAGTGAGAATGTTTTTAATTTTTTGTCCAGATCTGGGAAAAAAATAACTTTTTTCCAGCCAGCTTGAAAAATTAAAGATATCTACTCAGTATATAGCTGGTAATTTTTAAAGGGTAAAAAAATAATGGTATATTGGGTTTTGTTTATAACCTGATTGTGTTTTCCCCTTTCAATATATTTGTCGTGTAAAGGAACGACAACTCTAGGTAGAAATATATTTTTAAAATTTTACGAAAATTCCTGGTGATTTCCCTTTACTGTGTGAACGCCATTTGCCGGTCATCTTTTAAGACCCTTTCAATTTGATTTTTTTGCGATAAAAATGTCATATTTTCAGCTTTCTGTTGTTATTTTAGTGATATCTTTCATCGTTTATAAAGTTCCTAGTTTATTTGAGCCAAAATTACTTCCGATTGTAGAGGGATTTTTCCAACCAGAATTTATGGATGTTGCCAAATTGTTTCAGTAAGGATGTTCATTGTTTTTAAGGCTTTTCACTCACATAGCCTATTGGGAAGAAGCTTTAGTCTGTCTTATACTTTATTTTAGGAAATTTAACTGGGAAAGACGGAAACAACAATTAAGCAACAAACAAAAAAGGAGATAGTCATGTAGGCCTACATAATTACTTGTTTTTCTGTTAATGATTTTGAATTTTAGCACAAACTTTGCAGATCTTTATAAAGCGTAATTACTTTGGGGTGAACAGTTTAACTTATTTTACAGACTGTTTTTATTTTTCAAACTGTTAAACCAAACAACATTGCCTGTCAAAAATTATCTTTCTGCCACTTTAATTTGGTCACATGTATAATTAGTTGGTACAATGTAGACAAACATACTGTACATGTACTGCTTTTTAATTTATTGTTATTACATCTACATGTTACAATCCAACAGTAGATTTACTTTTATGGTGGGGGTTTTAGTATTTTTCACTCTGGATAGGGCATTAAGCCACATGAATTTCATGTACCAAGTCACCAACCCGTTCCTGGCAACGTCATAAATTTATAGACTATTTTGCTTTCACTTTTGCAAGGAACTGAAATTTTCTGTACATGCAGATGAGGTACATTTGAGTTCACACTAAATTTCCCCCACCTTGTCATTCTAGTCCTAGAGCTGATAGAATGCACACCGTGTCCCTTTCTAGTCACATACCAATGACCAGGCGGCCAGTGAATTACCCCTAAAGGTGTAGGGATAATTGCATTCAATTGACGGGGGGCCCCATATTAAGCTGCTGTAAAAAAAAAAATTTTGAGAATTAATGGCCATTCAGAATAAAATTATAAAAATAAGAAAATTTTAATATCAGCAGTTTTAACATTTTAGGTGATATCATGTTAAAGCTTAATTTTTTTCTTTATTTATTGTAAACATATTTTTATTAACCAGTATTTAACTGTAAGTGTAAAATAATACCCCTTAAAATCAAATTTATAGAATTAATAAGGTTGAATTTAAATATGCTCTTTAAAGCTATTTTTTAATGGCCATGTATTTCAATTTTTCTAGTGTACAAATGGGAAAATCAATGTGATAATTCTGGCCCAATTAATTTAGTTTGTAACAACATAAACTTTTTTCATAAGCTCAAACAAATCAAGGAAAGGTTTATATATAAGCTAAAATATTATTTCTACAATATATAACTTCGAAACAATTCATGATGTTCAATATTGAAAGAGAATATTAATACATTGATTTTAAAACAATATATTGTGATAATTTAGTATTAAACGGTGTCATGCTTGCATATGTTAAAAAGATATAAATAATTAAAATATTATCCATAAAATAAATAAATTTGATAACTTTAGACTTGATTTCAATATTAAAAATTTAATTTATAAAGGGAATACTTTTATTGAAGAGGAAAATCTCAAGTCATGCTGTGTATTGGTATTTTCTGAGAGGCACTGTTTTCATTATACCACTCTCCTGCTGATAAGAGAGCCTCAGGGTAAATAACAAAGTACAGTCAATTTTGCAGATTATATAAGTATGCATTGAAATTCCCTGGTTTTCTCAAAATGCATGTTAGACATAAGCCTGGGATTCATCAGGCGTTGGAACCCAAGCTAGTTAGTCATATAGATAAATGACCATAACTTTTGTATAATCAAATATTCAAAAAAAGTCATAATGGCATAAATGCATATTAGATATTATTGTCTCTAAAGCGGAATTTTCTTTCTTTATTTATCTATTTATCCACATGTTTTGCCAGTCTACATAATAATATATATAACTGACGAGGCAATTCCTCATGTTCAAGATTGAAAGAGAATATTAATTCATTGATTTTAAAACAATCCATACACTGTGATATTATATTTTTCAACCATGAAATGCTTGCATACTTTTTAAGGATATAAATAATTAAAAAATTTCCATGAAATAAATAAAATTGATTACTTTATTCAAGATTTCTATATTAAAAATTTAATGTATAAAGGGAATGCTTTTATAAAAGAGAAAAAGTCTCAAGTCATGCTGTGTAATGGTATTTTTCTGAGAGCGACTGTTTTTGTCACACTGGTCTTCTGGCGTCCGGCACGGATTTATATATCCGTGCCTCAGGGTAAATAACAAAAATGCAGATTATTGCATTATTTATTTAAAATTTCATGTTCATAGATAAATGACTATTATTTTTGTATAATCAAATGTAAAAACTAATCATAATAGCATAAACGCATGTTAGATATTATTGTCTTTGAAGTGGAATTTTCTATTCTTATCATAAAAAACTGGTTTAAAATCAATATCAGTGTTAACTATTCTAAAATATCATACATGAGCAGAAAACAGTTAAAGAAGATTATAGTGTCAAAAGTCATGCTGTGTATTGGTGTTTTAATATAGCACCCTGCTGATAAGAGCCCCTCAGGGTAAATAACAAATATAAGTAGGCAGTGTAAATTCTGTATTCTCTGGATGTTGGTGCAAATAAATTGCATTACAAGTAGTACAAAAAAAAAGAAAATATTTTTGCATTTTATAACAAACTCATAAAAATAATCATATTGCATAACTATGTTACAATGCATGAAAAAAAAAGAAAAAAGATTGGTGTCGTCTCTAAAAATGGAATTGAAAGATTTCCTGAACTTTTTGTTAATATCCATGTCAGTTTAAGTATACTAGCGTCCCACAGGTACATATCAATACCTAATCCACACATATCAATACTTAATCCACATTTCATACATACCACCATTATATATAAATATTTATTTTCAGAAAAATATATATCATTTATATTAATCTTAGGTAAATCTCAGTTTGAGAAGGTAAGAGAGATTATTAATGAGATAAAATTGACAAAATTTAGGCCAATTATAAACGAATCCCGGACAATCCCCCTCCCGGACGATTCCCCTTCCATATTATTTTCACAACCCGGACATTTCCCCTCTCGTTATTTTAATAGGGTGGACTTTTCCCCTCACGTTAATTTTATAGGACGGGCAATTCCCCTCCCGTTATTTTGGCAAAGCGGACAATTCCCCTCCCATCTTTTCACAGAGCAGAACGTGACATTATACAGCCCTTAATCATAGCCGCCATTGCGTATAAAAAATCTATAACCATTCTTATTAAAGATGACATTTTTACTCTTAACAACAACTGTTAAAGATCGGAACTTTTTAGAATCATTATTTCACAAAGGTGACATTAAACCGCCTTTAATCATTGCCGCCGCTGCTTAAGATGAACAAACTGTCAATAAAAAATCTTTAATCAGTGCTGCCCTTAATTAAATGTGTCCTTGATTGTAAAACCAATAATTTACAATTATTTTACCGCTGCAGAAATGTATTGGCGAAATAAAGATTATTTTAACAAAAAAAATGCGTTTTATTTTTATATTCATGTCAATATAGACAAGCAAAATGTATTTAAAGTCCATTAAAAATACCTTTAAAATAAACAATGTTATAACATATATATGTTCAACAGACACGGGAGCTCTGACAACAGCGGGAGGAGAATTGTCCGCTCTGCTAAAATAACGGGAGGGGAATTGTCCGCCATGTAAAATTAACGGGAGGGGAATTGTCCGCCGTAAAAAAATAACGGGAGGGGAAATGTCCGGGATAAGAAAAAACATTCAAATTTACTGGGAGGGGAATCGTCCGGGAGGGGAATTGTCCGGATATCTACTTATATTATTTCTTTAATGAATGCTTAAAATCATTACTTTAACTAAAACAACCATAAGTTAAGATAAAAAATAACTTATTGGTTTCATTTCCCCCCCCCCCCCCCCCCCCCCAAAAAAAAAAAAAAAAAAAAAAATCTTTAATTTTCTTTAATTAGCATATTTCAATGCTTCATATTTCATTACCAGATAATAATAATAAAATAGAATCATATTAAATATCAATTAATTTTGTTTATTCATGCACTTATCAACATTAAAGTTGTAATAATTTATATTTACTTATTCTAACAATTAAATTTTAAAGTACAAAATCAGTCAAATTAATGACTTTGAAAAATTATTGTTCTAACATTTTATGCCATATTTTACAAAATTAATATTTTCAACTTCAAATTTATTATGAAAAACTATTATACAGATATCTATATTTATCTTTCTTTTTGTAAAAGTCAAATTGCTATTCATTGAAATAAAAGGTAACTGCTTAATACATATAATAGGTCTGGTGCACTACAAAGTGCACTTATTAAGTGCACTACTAGTGCACTTTGAAGTGCACTAGTAGTGCACATCTAGTGCACTCCTAGTGCACTTTGTGTAACCTTTAGTGTGAACTCAACTGTACAGTGTGAATAACCTTAGAAATTATTTCATAATCAATTACAACCAAAGTGACCTGCAACATCTGGGAATTAAACCCGGGTCGCCCAATTCACAGTCCAAGGCTCTAAATATTGATCTAACCGGACAGCTATTATTGCTATTATGACTGTACCAACAGAGCCTTAAGTCATGCTAGTTTACTGCTTCCTGTTTTTTTTTGATTGTTGAAGTGTGAAAGAGAATCCTGCAAGCGTGATTTGAACCCACAACCTCCAATCTAGGGTCCTATGTTCAACTCTTCATTAAGTATAACTTACTAGGCATTACTCTAAGGAAGTATTCCAACTGTTGTTTCAAATACATATAGGTATGCATAATTGCTGTCAGAGGGCTGTAATTAATATAGAGGTTGTATTTTCTTTTTATTCAGTAATCAGTATAGACTTTGAATTTTACCTGCAATGCATGGATCATAGTGTGCATTGGAATATCCAATTAAAAAAATCAGGTACACACAAATGTATCCATCTACTTTATGCAAATTAATCCAGAATGACAGTTTGATTATGAAAATCTTTTACATTAAATTTTTCAAAAATTGAATAGCTAGTATCTTAGGTTTAGCTGACCCCAAACTAAATGAATGTGCATGTGTTTTTGTTGCTACATGATGTTCTGTTACTAAGTGTTATCCTGAGTGTTATCATGAATTGTGTTGTGTTTTTGGAAATAAACATGTAAAAAGCAAGGAGATGTGGGCATAAGCCACCAATTAGCAAGCATGCTTATGTGATTTATCTTCCAGAGGTTTGCTAAACTGAGATGTATTCCCAAAAGTTTTGTATTATCATCCTTTATTTTGAGTGTCATTTTGAAGATTCAAAATAGTTTTTACAGGCATGCCAGACTCTACTGTTTATGCTTTGTTTTGTTCCGTCTAATAATTTCTATGTTATAGGAGGAATATGGAAAGTGGTAAGGAACAGGGTGCATCCTTCGCAGTTTATCATGATGGTGAGCTTGTAGTTGATATGTGGGCTGGCTATGCGGATAGAGACAGCATGAGGAGGTGGAGGAACGAAACTACGTCCCTAGCATTTGGCTGTACTAAAGGAGTAATGGCATTTCTTATTGCACTGATGGTTGAAAGGTTTGTACATTGTGTGTTTATTGGGTTGTAATATATGGATTTTATTATAACTTGTTTAGACTTCTGATACCTAAACACTTAAAGGAAACGCTTCACTGACAAGGGGGTTTTGAGGTACATGTATATAATAATGTTGCAGAAATGTATTGATATCTGGAGATTTCTTATTGAATGTATCTTATTTAAATGATAGAATCATGGGAAGCAGGTGTATTCACTATTCAAGATACAATTATGCAGGTCCTTTCTTAAAAAAAACAAAACTGCCAGTTTTTTTTAATGACATTTTTGATAATAAGTTATTCATACTGTATTTACCTTAAGTGTTTAAAATTTTAAAACATGACATACCTTCTCTGAGTGTACTTAAAATATGTTCATTTTAAAATAACCCAGACTGTGATAATAATTTATGTTTTGAAATATTGTATTTTTTAGCATAATGTATCTTTAATTATTTAACTTTCGATATATATTTATTTACTAAGAGGTGTGTTAAACTACAGTAGACCAGTTGTTGAATATTGGCCAAAGTTTGGCGGCAATGGAAAAGAAGATATCACTTTAGAAATGTTGATAAATCACCAGGTAAATAGTTGCTTGTGCTTTAATCACCATGAAAATTTTGGCAGATCAATAAGTAACCATTAAATAAATGTTGAAAAATCAAAAGACAATAGTATTGAAAAATGCCATCCTTAAACAATGGCATTTGTTGCATGCAAATTTCTGTAATTGTATTGCTTAACAGGAATTTAAATTATTTTTTCATTTTTTATAATTATATTTTTTCTTTAAACCAGAACTAGACAACTGATTTTATGCACAGGGCTCTTGTTAGAATTTTGAAACTGTGGTCAGGGTCCATGCATGGGGAAAATATTGCATGATTTTCAAACATTTTTCATTCAAAGGGGAATTTCAACAGAAAGAAAATTAATTCATTAAAAACAAATGAAAACAAGATTCAGTTAACAAATTTATCACCAATAAACTCCTTTTAGAAATATTTGATTATTTCCTATAGAACTGAATACATCTTTAAAGCAGCACGCCTCCAGATCCATCCTAATTTTCATGAAAATTTTGAAAATGTATTTAAAGGTAAAATATTGTGAAATGAACAAAGAAAGTACTTGACACATTGCAGTCGGCACTTATAATTTACATAAATTAGCAAAAAGAGGTCAAAATAGGCTTAAATAGCCCCTACTGCATTATTAACGCAGTATAAATATGGTGATAAATACTGCAAAATACAGTCATTAATTGCACATAAGATATAAATTATCACATGAATCTTTAATCTGTTTACTTTTCTTAAAGTTTTAGTACACTTAACAAAACTTATAACTGTGCAGTTTTTAAATGTGAATAACTTTTTTATTTCTTGACATTTTTTACCCAAATTTTGGAATTCATCGTTTGAATGGTTTATTTTTACAATGCTATATTCAGAAATAACGGTAATTTTTTTTGTGTGCGTTCATCCGTGACATGACATAAACAACAAAGTGCGCGTGAGGGTGACAGGTTGGCGCTAAATGAAGTTATTCTTGACCATCAAGGATTCTATTAAAATAAAGACATCCAAAAAACATAAATTTATTGCAGACTTTTTGCAATTGAAAGAAAAATGGCCGTCTAGAAGTTTTACGCAAGGGAATTTGCATTTCAGGCGCCCATTTTGAAAATAAATTTGCATAATATTTTCTCAAATAAACATATTGACTAAGATTTTACTTTAAAACTAAAAACAAACTTTCTTGGTACTTTCATATTAATGAAAATATCGTGTTTGCATTGCTTTTAGCAACTGGGTACAAACGCGTTACGGAGATCGACATAAACCAGTCTTTACTGAAATTCAATAAAGCAAATATTAAAATCACAGTGACATAATGCCCTGGAATTCATTGTAGTATTATACCCTATCGGTGATCCTATGTTTTATGTTTGTGTTTTAGTGAAATCAAGAGATTTAGACCTTTTTGCACCCAATATAAATACACATTTTACAGAAATGTGAAATTCGGTTTTCGCGCAAAATTGCACACATCGCTATTTCTCAGTAAGTACGAATTGCCCTGACATAAAAATCGATACCCATCATTGCACATATCTGTACTATACTTGGTTAAAATTTCAGAGACCTATGTTTATTAGTATCTGAGAAAATTTGATTTTTATACGTGCACACTTATAAGATTTGTTAAGTGTATGGTTTTTCCAAGTTTACTTACTTTAAATATTTTGAGTCATCTTGAGGCATGCAGCTTTAATACTTGAAAAATTCAACTTAAAAAGGTGATCACTGATCTTTGGCCGTTAAATATATTTTTAAGGGGGAATTTTTTTCGGTTTTAGGGGGGAAAAACACAATGTTTTAATGGGGGAATGACTCCCATATTCGGCCCCAAATTTTACCAAACAAGAGCCCTGATGCATATATCCATATATTGATTAATACTCCTAATTTCTTGTATATGATACTTTTTCTTACCTGTTTAATTAAATGATTTGTTCTGTTCATGCAAATATGTTGTGCCCTATTTCAAGATGACCTTTGCATAATTTTTTTCTGACCATATTTTGTCATCCCTGCTATGAAATGTGTCCATTATGTATCAACAGATTAGTGTTAGACATGGTCTCCTGCTTTAATTTGTATATGTTCTTAGTGAATTTTTTATAAATAATAAGTAATTTAAATAAATTATCAAAATAATTGATCTTTTCAAATGTGTATCGATTATTGATAGACAGAAAATTTGAATGATACATTGATTTCTATGATAGCTCTTTACTGCAAACCATTTCCCTACTGGAACCAAATGCATTCAACTTTTTGTCAACAATATAAAAGCTGACCAATCTTCACACCAATGAAATCTTACAAGGCTGACTAACAACCTGATGTCCCTAAAGTGGATAATGAACAGATTAAAAAATAGATGATGGACAAGTCCATTCAGTAAATTAAGGGTAAAATTGTTTTTAAATTTAGGCTGGTTTACCTTACATGAAAGAAGCCATATCTTTGAGAGATTTGGTGACAGATAGAAAGCATGTAGAGGATGCTATATTCTCCCAGGTTCCTGTGTGGAAACCAGGTATATGTTATCTTCATTATATGATTTAAGAATTAAAGATATATTATGCTCAAATTTGATATTTAAAAATATTTAACCATGTTACACTGTCTCTATGTAGATATAAAATAAATATGTTTCAACTACACACAATGTAGATATGTTATATTTTAAACTCTACACACAAAGGTGGTCACAATATGAATATATAGCTTCATTAAAAAAAACCTGGTAGTTTTATTTTAATAGGAAGGGCTTACTTTACCTGACCCTTAAGGAATGCAGCTTGACATATTCTGTTAGAATTTTATAGCTGCCAAGCCTTAACTTCCATGAGCAAGACATTTTATGCTCGTTGCTTAGTACTGGTTTGTATAAGAAACAGATTTTACAGTGTTTCAATAAGCTTATAGCTTTCAATACAATATAACTAAAATAAATTTGTATAAACTAAGATATGCTGTATCTGTTCAACAAAAAAAAAAATTAAAAAGTTGCCCACCTGTGTCTTGAGTCCTGTTTTGTTGCATTATTTTGTGTGGCCATTCACGGATTTATATTACATTGTAAATTTCAAGTACATGTATTTTACCGAATATTTCTCTGATATTTTCTATTTCATTTACAAAGTTATTATAACAATTTTCTTTACAGACTTGTATTGTCAAAGCACCACAATAATATGGTAATAATTGAATAGTTCATATAGTTAATTTAGGATATTAAATTATATGTTATCATACATTCTAGGTACAACACATGGTGTCCATGAATGGACATATGGTGTGATACTTGATGACCTAGTTCAGAGAGTTGATCCAAAACACAGACCAGTCTCGCAAATATTTGAAGAAGAAATTGCATCACAATTAGGTAATATAAACTCTAAATTTTCTTTTTCGTACAAGATCACATGTATTAAGTAACGATCATTTACAATAAGGGCATGTTCCTTGAATCACTGCTAAAGGTTGGAGCCGTACACGTGTCTTTCATGTGAGAAAGCTATCCAGCTAGCTTACAGAACATTGTTCAACAAAGGTGCCTGTTTGTGCCTGAAATAATGCACAGAGGGGCACTTGAGGTCTTGGTCCACCTATGAACTATACTATGATCCATCACTATCAAAATGAACTTAAGTTGAGGCAGATTTTACATTATTTTAGCATCCTAACTTCTGAGGCAATACATGTAACTGGTACCGTTGGCCTTGTGGTTAAGTGGTCCGCCTTCAGATCGGGAGGTTGAAGGTTCGAACCCCACAGGGAGCGTCAATGGATGGATGAATGTTTCTCATGGGACTCATTTCAAAATGGCCACTTTGTGAGCCATGAGGTAGTTAAAATGAAGGTTGTTTCTATCCCCCTGGTGCCTGGCATAGTGGTAGGAGTTGGGAGGTACATGGTATGCAAGCAAAAGGTGTCTCATACGTGAGAAATGGCTGGCCCTTTCAGTAGGGGTGACACTTTAATAAACAAGACCTTTATATTTACCTTTTACATGTACATGTAGCAGAAATCTTAAGACTTCTACTTTCTTATTTTGAAGAAATAGATTTGTTTGACTTGTTTCTTTTATATTAATTCAGGATCATGTAATGCCAGTATCAAACTATTTGAACTTTTAGTTCTAACATGATGACAGTGTGCATGTTATGTAGGTCACACGTTTTTTTTTTGGGGGGGGATGAATTTTTTTTATAGTAGTATATCCTTCACCTTTCCCTATATTTAAGCAGAAAGAAATATTCTTGAAGCTGCTTTTATGCCTGCCAGGTAAAAATATATAACCATGAAACATATACAGTATACAGAATGAATACTGTTTAAAGTTACAATACATAACACACAAATACTCTTTGTACCTCTTAAAATGTAGATATTTTCTCATTTATAAACCATAACTTGAAAATAAAGTACTTTAATTATACATTTAATTGAAACTATATCTGTTTAGTTGCTCATAATATATGATTATGTTCTTAAATTCCCCAATTTTGTACTTTAAATTGTTTTCATATACATAAATAAGCTGAAGCCTAATTATAGGATGATGAACCAAGACAGTACAACCTCTTCACAGCAACCACCCTCGAGGAGACAATGATTGTCGTTGTTGGGGAGAGGTGTTTCTCTTGAGAGGTTAAAGTAAATGTGAAGTCATACTTTTTAAAGAATTGATATAGTAACTGTTGCTGTATTTAAAAAAAAAAGCAATGACAAAGAGGTACCAATTGCTGTACCAAGGTTATTTCTATACAGAGGTTAATGCTGTTCCGAGGTTATTGTTATACAGAGGTTATTGCTATAAATAGGTTATTGTTATACAGAGGTTATTGCTATAAATAGGTTATTGTTATACAGAGGTAATTGCAATAAATAGGTTTTTGTTATACAGAAGTTATTGCTATACCAAGGTTATTGCTATATAGAGGGTATTGCTATACAGAGGTTATTGCTATGCAGAGATCATTGCTATACAGAGGTTATTCCTATACAGAGGTTATTGCTATACAGAGGTTATTGCTATACAGAGGTTATTCCTATACAGAGGTTATTGGTAAACAGAGGTTAATACTGAACAAGAGGTTATTACTATACATATAATATTTTGCTATAAAGAGGATATTGCTACATAGGGTCACTTAACAGAGAGTGCTCTGTATATTAACAGGTGTAGAGTTTGACCTTCATTTAAAGAAGAAAGATGTTCATAAGACAGCAAGGATTTTTAAACCATCTGTATACCAGACTGTAGTCCAGGCAATTGTCAGTCCATCTTACCTGAAACTTTATGCAGAATATTTTACATCGTCTGACTCATTAATCAGTAAAGTGTGGGGCACCTTGAAGGAAAACCTTTTGGTAAGTAATTTTCTGACCTGATACTTTGATTGTGATATACTTATAACTGTCCCTTAATGGGGCCTCTCTAGATGCGTGTATAAGTTCACTATAGTCTTGCCTTACATATCTTAGATTTGATTTAAGTATTACCTAACTGATCTTAAGTATGATTTAAGTTACTCTATTAAAAAAAATTAAGTAGAGCGGGTGCACCTAATGCCGAACATGCTCCTAATTCCGACCAAAATATTATAATTCATTTGATATTTCATGTTTAACAAAATTCAAAAAAGTGAAATCATTATTATAACGTCACTTTGTCTCTCTTTCCACCCACAACATTTTGAATTCGCGGTTGTGTTGTTTGTTGTGATTTTGGGCATTCAAGGATTTACTTCAATTTTTGGTTAGACATTTTATTTATTAGCTAATTTTTTACAAATTTTTACTAATATCATAAAATATTGAATATTGATGCTTTAGTCAAATTCTTTTGAAATCAATGATGTAGACAAAAATAAAAATCATGTGTGAAGCCCCTGTACATGTTTTAAGGTCGTATGAATGAATAACTGGCAGTGTTCGGAATTACATACTGAACTCACTGAATGTTCCAAATTCCGAACAAAAGTTGAAAGAGAATGATTCACCCCATTGGACTCAATAACTACAGCAACTACTGTTGTTACAGCAGCTGTGACTCCTCCTACATCAGCTGGTAAATTATCGCCGTCAGATATTGTAAACGAATCTGTGCTTGATGAAATACCTACAGCTTCAAATGATTTAGTCACCACTCCATCTAAGCCATTCACAGTCGTGTCTCTCTCAATGGAGCCGACTGCTACATCAACTGCCCGACTGATACATCAACTGCCTCCATGTTTACTGTAACACCTAACATTACGACTGATTCTATTACAACACCACCGAAATCTTCGGATGGATGTGTTCCTAAAGCAACAGACGTATCTATGTCACCATTTAGCAAACATTTAATATTCCCAAAGACTGAAACAAATAAACCAAAAGCAAGTAAAATGATAATGCCAAAAGCAACAGGGGAAAAGTACAGATAATGGTTGAACGAAAAAAGAAGAAAAGAAAGAAAAGGAATTGAAAAAAAAAGAGGAACGATAGAGAGAACGATTACAAAATAATCTCAAGAGAGCCAAAGAGCTGAAAGAAAAACAGATTGCACTCGAAAAGAAACAGAAGGATAGAGAAGAGACGAAGAAAAAGCTGAGAGAACTGAAGGAGAAAAAGAAGCAAGAGACTAAACAGATTATAAAAGAAATTGAGGCATCCGATTCGGATGATAATATTGCAGTAAGTCCTACAAGCTGTTTTAAGTTCGAAACACTTTATGAGGACTATATACAGTTCATATATTGTTTCAGGCGCTGTTTTTCTTACTGTTGTTGGACTGCTCGGATGACCTTCCTTTTAAATGTAAATACTGTTAGTGTTAGTGCAACAACATATATTCTCTACATATAGAAGATTACTTGATGCAAACTGTAGTTATAATATTGTCGCTTAAAATATGTTTGAATATATTGTTTGAATCCTTTTTTGGTTTTTGAAACTATATATTTTCCTTTTCGTTGACATTCAATACTTTTGTTGCAGAAATGAATATGTTTAATAAAATTAACATTTTAAAAATACTTTGATGATTGACAAAACTCTTTTCTAATGTAGATTTGTGCCAAAGTACGAAAATGGTGTGTATTTGTTTACTCAACATATTTATTTTAAAAAGTTCCTAATGTTCGGAATTAGGAACACCAATGTTCGGAATTACAATCATCATTCGGTATTAGGGGCAGTTGGTTGATCTTTTGATCGGACGATAACGCCTTTATTTGTATTCGTTAGGGTTCTAATACTGGCCAAAATTGTAGCATAATTACTAATCTATTTGAAGAGTTGTCTCTCTTTAGTTTAAAGTGCTCATAATTCCGACCGAGATAAAACGCGGCTTAAGTGTTCGGTAATAGGTGCACCCGCTCTACGGTATTGTCTAACTGATCTTAAGTATGATTTAAGTTACTCTATTAAAACAATTAAAGTATTGGCTAACTGATCTTACATATGATTTAAGTTACTCTATTAAAACAATTTAAGTATTGCCTAACTGATCTTAAGTATGATTTAAGTTACTCTATTAAAACAATTTAAGTATTGCCTAACTGATTTTAAGTATGATTTAAGTATGTCTTTTAAAACAATTTAAGTTTTGCCTGACTGATCTTAAGTATGATTCTATGCCTCAGAAATGAAGAAATTTTACATCCTTTAGAAGGGCAAACATGAGTGTTTTCGTTTAGGGTCCTCCAGGGCTCCTAACTGCTTCTTGTTGCTGGGTCGCTTGGGGGGGGGGGGGGTATGTTCATTAAATGCCACCTTTCCTTGTTGATCTTGTCTATCATATATTTCACATAATGGTTTTATAGCATGTTAGATGAGAAATTAGTGTGGAATATGAAATTATTTGTTATTAAAGAATCAAAATGTAAACAAAGTAGTATTTGAATTCCATACCAAATACGGAATATGTACTTATTACTAAAAGGCAACAGAAGCAAAGGATGGTTCAGGCAATTGGGTGATGAGAAACATTTTGGAAACTGTAACAGGCCACCAAAATAAATAAAAAAAAAATTAGGAATACAAAAATAGCAGGAATATCTTTTATATTTTGAGTATGATTTAGTAATGCATACTATATTTTAAGTTTGATTTAGGTATTTTGTGTGATTTTCTAATGAATTTTAAGTAAGATTTTACAAAAGCCTTGAATACTGCAGTACAGATTATAAGTACTTTAAAATATTCAAAATATTTTATGAAGGTGAATTTATTTAGGCTGTCTTGTCAAATAAAATAAAACACTACAAAGTTTGTTACTTAATACTGTAATAAACAGCCTCTAACTCAAATTTGTTATTTCAGCCAGTTACTGTGTTTAATGACCCGGAACTAAGGGAGATAACTTTGTCATCTAATTCTGGCACTGGGACAGCGAGAGGTCTAGCTAAATTATTCAGGTGGGTCAAGTTACCTGTATTTTATTCTTTATTATAGTCTCATTAATGTGATACAGAATATACAACATATCATAAATAAAAAGCATACGAAAAAAGACACATTGTCACTCTCTACAGAGTTATAGGAATACTTTGTATATGTTACTATCATGATACAAGTAAAATGAGCCGCGTCACAACAAAACCAACGTAATGCGTTTGTGACCAGCATGGATCCAGACCAGCCTGCGTTTCTGCACAGTCTGATCAGGATCCATGCTGTTCACTTACAAACCCTATTACAAGTAGAGAAACTGATAGCGAACAGCATGGATCCTGATCAGACTGCACGGATGCACAGACTGGTCTGAATCCATGCTGGTCGCAAAAGCATTATGTTGGTTTGGTCGTGACATGGCTAAAATCATTATTACATAATGGATTATTAAAATTCACAGATTATCTACATCTTGAGCATAGTAAATGTTTAATATTTCCATCTGCATATACTTATAAAGAACAGAGTTCTCTTAAAGCAGCATTCCTCCAGATTCATATGCTAATTTTCTTTAAAAAAAAAAGGAAAATGTATTCAAAAGTAAAATATGTGAAGTGAACACAGAAAGTGATTTAAAGGGAGACATAGGCAAAATTTTCATTTCTTGGTTTTTAATGTTTCATTCATTATTCTGTGTAATGTCAGCTTCTTTACCCTAAAATGGTGCTTTGAGGCATGCTTTGTTATAGGTATGTTTGAAAGTTGAATGAATATATGAGCCAAGCCATGACAAAACCAACATAGTGCGTTTGTGACCAGCATGGATCCAGACCAGCCTGCGCATCCGCACAGTCTGATCAGGATCCATGCTGTTCGCTATTAGTTTCTCTACTTGTAGTAGGGTTAGTAAGCGAACAGCATGGATCCTGATCAGACTGCGGGGATGCGCAGGCTGGTCTGGATCCATGCTGGTCGCAAACGCACTATGTTGGTTTTTTCATGACGCGGCTCATATGTTTTTAATATTTTGTTATGTCATACTAACAGTGTGTTGGCCAATAATGGTATGTTTGAAGGTAATAGAATATTGAGAGAGGAGACGATAGAGAAGATGAGACAGCCAGCTACTGGTGGTACTTGTGCTGTAACCGGTCTACCTAAGGCGTTCAGTCTTGGTATGCAAGTATTTACCAACCCACAGGTAAATTCTAAAATATCTATGCCATTCAGCAGTATAATAGTTTTTAACTCGACTATTTGATAAGAATAAGTAGAGCTGTCCTAGTCACTTGAGTGTCAGTGTTGGCGTCGGCGTAACCACTTATGTTAAAGTTTTTGTAACACCTAGAATATTTTCAAAGTCCATTGACATATGGCTTTGAAACTTTGCACACTTGTTCATCATCATGACCTCAACCTGTTGACAGGAGGAGGTAACTCTATCAAGCATTTTGACAGAGTTATGCCTCTTTTTTGACTTCACCTCAGATTATAATTTTCATATTTCATTGACATCTTGCTTTGAAACAAGTTGAAATTTTATACACTTCTTTGTTAGCATAATAAGACTCTCTTCAAGGCATATAACATGGATTAAAAAAAATGGCCCTTTTGTGAACTTAGAAAATTTTACATTTAATTTATCAAGACTCTTTTACTATCAAGCACTAAGTATAGTCGAGTGTACTGTCCTACTAAAGCTCTTGTTATTCTGTACTGTTATTGGACTTTAAGCCAAACAATTTTTATTTCGGTGACATTACAGCTTTCCAGCTAGCTGCAATTTGGAAAAACATTCTAAAATTGCTAAACTGTGCTTCTTTTTCTTGTTGATCCACACTATAAACTAGGAAGTACATGTTTGAAAACACCTTCCAAATAAAACAAAAAGGAAAATCAAACATATCTTGTGTATACTGTACAATGGGAAAAGATTACTTTATATTTGAGACATTGTGATAATGAATTATGCCATTTTATGATAAAGATGTATTTTTATATTGCAGGGGGAGACAACTATAGGTTATGCAGGACACGGAGGACAGATGGTTATAGCTGACCCTACTAACAAACTTTCTATAGCTTATCTCACAAGTTACCTCTCTATATACAGCAACGGAGATGACCCAAAATTCACAGCCATGCAGAAAGCAGTATATAACAGTCTACAGAAATATATCTATAGAAAAGAGAGAATGGCTAAAACATGACATATTTGAATAAACATGATACATTTGAGCATTTTCACATTCCACACTCACTCGACTATATAAATTCAAATGACTTGTGACGTCATTTGCATAACACACATGTAATTATAGTGTAGAAGAAGCATATAGTAATGATGACTTAAGACGCTCATCGGCTGTGCGAGAAACTGTTTAAATATTTAAATACAGTAATGAAAGTACATGAAATCAGGTGACGTGATTTAAATCAAGTAATATGCCATAAAGAACAAAATGTGGCAATAATTATTTAACAAAATAATTGTGGTATTAAAGAAGTATAAAAAAAGAATGCCAGTGAGGGTTTGCAAAGTTGTATGGACTTTATGTCGTTGATAAAACTCAGTATTTCACTGGTTAGCATAAAAAAGTGCCCTGTTTGGTACATTTTTCCTTTGGTTATTTATGGTCATAAATTTAACGTAAATGTAGGAGTGTGAATTAGAAACCTTTTTAAGCTAGGAGTTATGGGTTAGAGTTCCTAGTTAGAGAGACCATGGCTTTAATTATATGTACATGTAATTAAAGGCGTGGAGAGACAATATATACTTGTATGTGCATAATGTCACTTTAACCACGCAGTCGCAGTCTCCTTTCGTTAACAGTGTCTTGCACTGCAAAGAAAGAAAATGTAAACACTCCAGTAAGAACACAATCGTGTTTTTATTGTTTGTTCTAAAACGAAAATGCATTTTGAATGGTAAATTTAAGTGAAAAGTGTACGTGTATGGCGTACATTTTGATTATTGCACGGACTTTAATTGTAATATAAATCCGTGATTAGTGTCTTAGCACAGTATATGAGCTTAGTATTGTTCAAATTTGTTAAAATACATATCACATAAATTATATGTTAATACATGATTTTATGTTAATAATATTATACATATGACACATATATTATGAAACTAGAAACATTTATTAAATTAAAAATTAAAGTATAAAACAAGGAAGTTTATTGTACTATAACATCTGCCGAAAAGGGAGGTAATCTATGGCGTTATTATCATAAATTGAGTTGTTTCCCCTGACACGTAATTTAATGAGAATGAAGAAGCAAACTAAAAGTCATTATTTGAAAATCAAACGTGTTATTTAATCTATTTTGTTGGGTTTGAAATTACACCATTCTTTGTAATAGCCATACGTGTATAGTGACATTCAAACGAAGACATCGGGTGCCTTATTCGTGCATTATTTCAGACAAGAGCGGGAACTTAAGCAGAACCATCGTCCATTCGCTAAGTTAGCTAGACAGCTTCCTCACATGAAACGAACCCACAGCGGTGAGGAGCAAGTGATTCAAGGCCACTAAGGCCCTGTCATATAAATCGTTAGACAAAAATATATATTATTACCAAATTGAATGATGTACTATGTATATTGACACAATAATAATATCATTTATCACTTGTAAACATGTTCATTGACACAAGTATTTTACAAAAAAAGTCGGGAGAATGAAAGAGGCGAAGCAATGCCCCCTTTTTAACGAAAGTATTCCACAGAATAATTTCTGAAAATAGAATTTCTATAGATTCTTGTAATTTAGACGATTTGTCATCTTCTAGACATATTGAATCATGTAGAATTAATAAACTATTACAAATAATACACAATTCTATAGAAATTGGCACATGTGGATTATCCTATAGGTTACATATCATTTTCAAAGCACGGATTTTTGCTATGTCTTAGACAACGGCTTTTCATATTTGGGGAAAAATTGACGTTTTTTTATCCCCCCTAATCAATATTTTTACGCATAGTTAACTGTTATCCGCAATATCGTATCAGTTCTATCCATTATAGAGAGAAAAAATGTCGAAAACCCTATATTTGTAAGTCCTAAAATCTAACTTTATAGTAGAATAAAAACTGTACCTCGATCACTAATAAAATATAGAATATACGAGTTTTATTTAACGGCTTGAGGACCCGCCTCCCGCCCGTACGGGGAGGGATCAAATAACTTCCTCCACTTCGGTGCGAGTTCGGGATTCGGGGAATTTACATATAGATTAATTCTAAATTATTTGATAATACCTTTATTTTGTGAACTCAACTAATTTGTTATTTATAAAGAAATCAACCAAATTTTTCCCAGAATTTCATTATCATTATTGCTAAATCATGTATATTCTGTGTCACTTATTATGGGCCGATCGCTAATGTTGTAGGAACTTTGGGCCCTTGTTATATCAGTTTGTTTCTCTGTATATTTACATGTATATATTAGGAATAAAATATGATTAAATGTTAAATATAGTCACCTATTACTTACATGTATTTCCATTTGCGATTGATCTAGTTGTCTCAGCTTAGAATAGATTTATTTTATGTATAAGATTTTGAACGTAACGGCTTTTAATCAGTTGTTTCGGGCAATGTTCGTATAATGACAATTTTATAGACTTTCTGTACAGGAGACGGATAATCTAATTTTCATTTCCGAAATTAATTTGTCGCCAGACATCTGTAAACTTACCGGGACACAATAAAATGCGTCAACAGAATTGTTCATTGTACATATAACAATATTAACTGTTATACATGTATAATGTTAAGGGAAACAACTCGTGCACTACTTGCTGTGTACATGTATATTGTTGCACCTTTCTGCTGTTTTGTAATTTGAAAAACTTTTTGTTAGTCATTTACACAATTTTTGTTTTTAAAAGATAGAAAAATAAATAAATAATAAATAAAAAATAAGATAAATGAATGAATGAATAAATGAATGAATAAATAAATAAATAAATAAATAAATGAGTTAATAAAAAAATAGAAATAAATACATATCAAATAAGATAAATGAATGTATGTGTGAATAAGTAAGTAAAGTAAAGTGTGAAGTAAAGTAAAGTATATAAAGTAAAAATAAAATAGATAATATCTTATAAAATAGATAAGATAAATAGATACATAAAGCTATCCTATATGAAAGAAATCTGTTTGAATGTTTTCCTAAGAAATAAACTTAACAGAGACATTGTACGTCGCAGCTCTTTCGAGAATCGACCAGAAGATAATGGAAACAGTGAAATTTTGCCGATTTTAAGTTAAAAAACAAAATTTAATATATCATTAGATAAAGCTTTATAATTAAAGTAAATCAGATTTAATTACCATAATTATATCTGTAGTTCTATTGTTTAGTTTTATAACTGTTTTCTTCAGAAAAATAAACTACAAGACATTTTAATACCGCTTAAAACTCCTATAGAGTATTCTGGGAAGCTTAAAAATTACATTTGTTAATGGAGAAAAATCCCAGTTGAACAAGTAACACGACTTTATTTGAGAAACTGTCAAATGTATTGGCAACAGAACTTTTTTTCTCGGACGAGCATGCCATAAAAATGTTAGATTATGCTGTAACTTTCGAGAAAAGAACGAAATGGGTTGAACTTTTATTTTTCTCTGCAAACGGATTGAAAAAACCTTTCCTTTTACATGATAAAAAGAAAAGAGGACAAACATAATTTTCAGCATTTCATGGTATTCTTACACACGAGAACTTGTATACCTTGTATCGACAAGAAAATTTGTGCTTTTATAATCTTGTTGTTAGAATATTCTTATTTATTTATTTATTTTGCCATTGACCAATGAATAGGACGGTGTAACTAATATACCCTTTAAAAAGTTCATATTCAAGATATTAACACAAATTTGCTGAAGAAAATGAAAAAAATAAAAATAAAAAGAAAATAAATAAATAAATGAAAAATAAAAAATACTGAACTGTGTTTTTTTTTCTTCATGTATTTTTTCTTTCAGTTTATTTACTGTCGCATATTAGCTGCTTAGTTTAAACATATTTTATTGCATCAAAAATATCAATGTCAAATATTATACAAATGATGATTAGTATAACAAAAAGCAAATGGGTTAGGCAACAAGTTCTAGCAACATATTAGATTAACCCAAGTTTAGCTGCTCATATCTGCCAAGCGTTAATCGTTTATTTCAGAGTACTGTATGGATACAACAGTTGTGCCGTTCAAGGAGCAACCGAGCATATAATAGTGCCGTTCATTGAGCAACCGAGCATATAGTTGTGCCGTTCAAGGAGCAACCGAGCATATAGTTGTGCCGTTCAAGGAGCAACCGAGCATATAGTTGTGTCGTTCAAGGAGCAACCGAGCATATAGTTGTGCCGTTCAAGGAGCAACCGAGCATATAGTTGTGCCGTTCAAGGAGCAACCGAGCATATAGTTGTGCCGTTCAAGGAGCAGCCGAGCATATAGTTGTGCCGTTCAAGGAGCAACCGAGCATATAGTTGTGCCGTTCAAGGAGCAGCCGAGCATATAGTTGTGCTGTTCAAGGAGCAACCGAGCTTATAGTGCAGAGAACCGATACACGAGACGTGGATCTCAACAAAAGTACCATAATAGTATGACGTAATATTTAGTGGTAGAGGCGACTCAATGCCTGGACAACTAGTTTAGCGCGTTACCAAGGGGCAGTTTTATCCGCTCTATTCACGTCATGAAGCCTTCAATTTGTCTTTATATTGTTTCAGCAGGGGAAAATGTTCTGTGTTGTGATTAAGTTAATTCATTTTAGATCAGTCTCGGCTAACGACATTAGTTTCACATTTCATTTGTGCAAAATAATTTAATAAATTTTCCATTTCCTTCATACAGAGATGCTAATCGGACAATTTTCCCAGACATTGATGATTTTTCTTTTACCGTATGAAACCTCGTGGTATTGAAATTGATTGAAAGGCTGAAAATGTCTTATAATTAAGGCATATTACAATGCACTCTGAGCACGTGCAAAGTAATTATGCTAACGACATATATGCAATCAGTGCAGACCAGGATCGACTGGTATATCTCTGCGGTCTGATCATTATCTGCACTGTTCATTATTTTAGTCAGTACTTATTTAAAGTTATTCTATATTTTCCCTAAAAATGATGAATGGTTTTGTCCAGATTGAAAGATGGACACGTCCATTTAAGATATTGAGCGTGGCCAAGGTGAAAGAGTGTAAGAACTATACTGTGTTTTACATGCGTACCGTGATAAGAAACGTATTGAAATAACCAGGTACGTATATTATTATATACGTTAATATATATACCTGAAATAACTAAATTTTCAAAATTTTTGGGAAAGACTTCAGTAAACATAAGATTGCCTCCAGTCTTATGCTTTTCCTTTGTATTGATCGAATATGTCATGTTTGTTTAATTGGATTTTACGTCAGACCGACACAGTATAGGTCATATGGCGACGTTCCAGGTTTAAAACTGGTGGAGGAAAACTTCAGGTGCCCTTACGTGCTTTATTTCAAGCAAAATAGGACACCTTTGTAGAACCTCCGACGTTCCGTAAGCTAGCTGGATAACTTCCTCACATGAAAGAATCAAAAGTCCCTGTCGGGATTTGAACCCATAACGTTGAGATGCAAGTGGTTAGAAGTCAACGACCTTAACTACCCAGCCACGAACGCATATATAATATTCGTCACCTTAGAGCAATAACGTAATAAGTGTTTCTATATTTAATAGCTGTTATTGAGTTATTGCACTAAGGTGACGAATATATGCGTTGTGACTGGATAGTTAAGGTCGTATTTATTATTATATGTCATATATGCAAATATGTTCTTGTATATGTGCCGTATAAAATGTTGAGACCAAACTAACTAAATTCATATATTTGAAATGTATGCACAGACTCATGGCTAAATCATTTTTTTTAAAGTAACCAAGACAACATTAATATTTTGTAAATAAACATTTTTTCTGGCTATAATCTATAATAGACTCCTTGCCAAGTCGGTTAAATTATGGTAGCTTCAAACTAATTTATGAGTATATAATTACGCATTTTACAAAAATGAAATCAAACTCAAATGGAAGTAGCTAATTACATAATATTTTAAAACTATCAAAACTATTATGGTTTAACTT